AATAATGCAACTTATTATTCTTATCGTTATTCTTCTTCTTATTTACTAAGTTTAGATTAGTTTGCCACAATACCAAAGTGGTGGCGCAGGGTGGGGTGGCGGGTTAAGATTGAAAACACTGTAGTAAAATATGGCATCATGGTGTACACCCAGTAATATAGATGAACGCTCTTCTGAATAGTCTCGTTAATACTTTCAAGAAGGTTTGAGAGTAATATAATTAAATGCATAAACGAATTGTTTAATCGTGAATGGAAACATCATTTTGACATGGATTCTCCCTTCCCCGAACAAGAAAAGCATCCAGTAATTTAGGGGGAGTTCTATCTATTACTTTCTATTTCACTAAAGGGGAGGGGGGATTTTTGATTAACTGATTTGTTTATTAACTCGTCGCTTGTTTAAAGTCAAAACATAGTTTGGATTGTAAGAGGGAAGAGTGAATATTGCATAAACATTTTTTGAGAGTAACAATGATTTTTCAAAATACAAGTTCTGCTATTTAACCCCTAACTGGGAGAGGATATGGATGTCTACCTTTCCTAAAGTTATAAGCGAATGTAAATAAACCTAACTGTTAACTAAAGTGGATAAATACAAGAAGATATTCTAATGTCTGCAGCAATGATTGGGGGTAAGAAAACAGACCCTCCCTTAAAAATGACGTTGACTCGAGCTATATCAGGTGGAGCTATATCAGGTGGAATCTCCTTACTAATTCATTGGGAGAAATAACCAGGTTGGGAAGCCTCGGGGTGTGGGGTGGTGGGTCCTCTAGGCATTACGTCTCTTTCGGAAGCGCTTGAGGCATCTCCAAAGGGAGATGTTCCGATAGCTCTTGAGCAATTTTTGTGCTGCTACCAAATCTCAATTTAATTTAGACTTTGTGTCACATTTTATGCAAGCGGGCAAGTGGATGAATACCTAGTAAATCACTGAGACAGACGTTTTGCTGTCGTTGGGTGGCAAATGAATCTTACTTCAAAAGCATTTAAAAGATTTAGGAGTATGCCTTAATGTCTGTAGCAAACTGTGTGTGTTTTTTTCTTGCTAAAAAGACTAAGTGAAGTTTATTTTGTGGGAATCCCCTATAAATATATACAGTTAAGACAGTTTTGTATTCGCACAAATTCTTTTAAATACATTTAAATAAACAAATTTTACTTTTTAAAATTAAATTTTAAAATTTTGTCGCAAAGGGAAAATAAGTTATTTAATTTATATATGTTGTTGATCGTAATGACCCAGAATTTATTATTATGTGGTTTTATTTCAAAATTTTATAACAAGGTAAGTTATTCAAGAAAAAAGACGAATATATATATATATATATATATATATATATATATATATATATATATATATATATATATATATATATATATATATATATGTATGTATGTATGTATTTATGTATAGACTTTTGAATTTATAGTACGATGAAAACAAGCGAAATAAATGAGAAGAAGAACATATCCACCGAAAACAAAGTAATTTTTAGTCGCCCTGAAGCTTTTAAATTTATAAAATAGAAAACAAAAATTAAAATAACAAAGACTTTACTTTTCAATGATATTTCCAGTGTATAGCATAACAATGTTTTCGTCTCTGGTGACTCTAAATATTAGGCGGCCATGTTTTTTTTAAATACAATTTGCTGGTGTAAAAAATATCAGACGTTTTAGTCGTTTTAAGACGGTTTACAATTTTATTCGGAAATTCCTTCGAATTTCTTTTCATCAACCCTCGCCTCTTCCCTTTCCCTTCACGTTATTTTATTTCCCTCGTTGCTTGCTGCTTTTACATGAGTAAGCGGAGTGATGAGAGGCTGTCAGTGTTGTACAAGTTACCTCCGGGGCTCGATAGGCGTTAAGGGCTTTACAATTGATTCAGTGTTCGTTGGTTAGAACGCATGCGTTGAAAAAGAAGTATCAAGAAGAAGAAGAAGAAGAAGAAGAAGAAGAAGAAGCAAAAGAAGCAAAAAAAAAAAAAAAAAAAAAAGAAGAAGAAAATAACCGTTCGGCTCGCTCCGGTTAAAGTGCTTACTTAACAATCTGAAATTGTTTCAAGTTGTTTTTTTACTATTTCTATACATTCCATCAGTTGTAATTGGTGAGATGGAGCAATGCAAATTGTATAATGGTCGCCCATGGGGAGAGATGGAATTGCATTAAACCCGGCGATAAAACTGTCTAAGTGTCTTAAGCTTCATCCCGTGAACTTTATCGACATTTAAGGATACATATATAAATTCAAATGTATATCCACACGTGGCTTCATTCGCAACGAAGAGAAATATATTTACACACGCGTGGGCGCACACATGAGGGGGTGCTATAAATTTTTTGATCCCACCCACTTCCCAAAATCTGGCCAAATGAACAAATATCAGAATTTATTCATTTGTCCATATTCTGGGAAGTGGGCCAATCCGAGAATTTTCCAGCATTCCTCGTATAAATACAGGGTGCGATGGGTAAATTGTCGCCATATTATTTTTTTAAATTTCGCACATGCCCATTGTTTGTTTTTTGATTTTGTCAATTGCACAGTATTGTATGATCAGTTGGGCACCATCTATGAGAAAAAGAGCACCATGACGCAATTCACTCCGTCATTAAGTTGGAAAAGGCATACTGTACTACTTGGGATTCGCGTCGAAAGCCCCAATACGAACATTTCAGAGTCAATCTGAAGACAGTGCAGAGGATTCGGGAAGAGTTGGATGAGTCTAACGATGATTAAAAAAGTATGGAAGCTCGGAAAACTCCCTCTGATCGTTCTGATAAGAAAAGAACTGAATTTGTTAGTGATAACCTCAGACTCAACACGGAGATATACGTTGTGCATTGAGGAGATTGTACTGCCATAGGTCAAGAGGATGGCTGCTGGAAGACCCTATGTCTGACAACAACACTCTGCATCATGCGACAGAAGCAGGAGGACCCAATCATGGCTGTCTGACAATTTCTGTGACATCATCGCCACTTACATTTGGCCACGTAACTTCCAAGACTGCACCCCACCTTTATTATATGTGTGTTGCAGTTGAGTGAGAGACCAACAAAACTCCTTGTGACACCAAAGATGAACTGAAGGTAAGGATAATGGCAGTATTCACCAACTTAAAAAGGAGACTGTCCAAAAGAGTTGCAGGAAATTCTGAAGTCGTATGGAGGCCATGGTTGAAGCCAATGGCGATTTTATTGAATGATTTTACTCTTTAGTATTTGGTGATATTTTTGTGTAATTTTGGTAATTATATCTGTTAAAATGAGATGCCAGTGTTATTTTCTTCTTTGCATAATTTAGACGACAATTTATCCTATATATATATATATTTATATATATATATATGTGTGTGTGTGTGAAAATTTCTCCGATTTAATCAGTAGAGAAGACAATATTTATGAATAAAAATGACAATAGGAAAACTAGTAATTGCTGACGCGTTTAGTCCAATAAATTGCCAAAACTGTTCCTCCCAATATATTGGAGAAACAAGTAGAAGTATAAAAAAAAGCATTTATGAGCACAAAAGAGACCTCACAAAAAAACAACTTAGCTAATGCACTAGTCATACATAGAAATAAATTCAACCATAATTTTGACTTTAAAAAAAAGAAAATAACTCACTCAGAAGGAAAATTCTAGAGAATACCCCCATAGAATATTACCCAAATACCAATTTACGCCCAGGTTTTTTCCCCATTTCACCTTTCTTAACAAATTACTGCTCTCACAAACAAATGTACACAACAGAATTATAAAATCAAAAGAAAATGGTTGAATACATCAACACAGATTTAATGACAATATTCTCCACACATGACAAATACTGACGTTATTTTCAGTTAACAATATGAAAATAGCGTTTCTCTACATTCCAGTTGCTAGGAACATTCTGTTTTTTGTTTTTATTAGTTACCTTGTTCAATTAAATTCATTTCGTATTTTGCTTTGATAAAGTCCACATTGGACGAAACGCGTCAGCAATTACTAGTTTTCCGATTGTCATTTTATTCATATATATATATATATATATATATGAAAGGATTATATAGAAATACATTCAGAAAACTTGCCAATACGTTTTTAGAGATAGAATCACGATAGACATGAGGAGAATGATTTCGACTGATAAAACAGATTGACATAAACAGAAGATAAACTAATCGGAAAGTAACTATAATAGATAAATAGATAAGAGAAGCATAGCTGCATAATAATAATAATAAGTATTTGATAAACAGATTCTATAAGATCCACACGTCAATTATTTTCTGCAACATTTCGCAAACACTTTTATCCACGTTCCAACAGCGCGTAATAAATAACATTTGAATCCCAATAAAGAAGGTGATACTGAATCGAGACACAATTTTCTTCATTTTGGATTCTTGTAATAAACTCAGCTTTCATTGACGGTGACTATATGAATCTAAAACTTTCTGTGTCAAGACAGATCTTCTAAGGCAATTGTCTAAACGCTGACTGGTGTTTCTTCTCATGTGCTTAAGTGGTATGCAGTTTTCTAGTTAATGGATTTTTTAAAAACGACTTGTAAACACATACATTAAAGAGTAGAATAGATTTCAAAGAAACAACTAAGATTTCCCTAATATCGTACAAAAGATGGCACTTGGTACTTTTGAATAAACGTCATATATAATTATAAAACAGGACAAGAAGAAAATATTTAGAAACCTTACCATTGTGTTTTAGGAGAATTAGCAAATTATTTTCATTTTTCTGTATTGAATATCAATGTTTAACCTTAAGCATTTTCTTTGTTTTAAATGCTTATTCAATCAAAGAAAAAACCCAAAACAAACACAAAAAAACAACTTAGCTGCTAATACACTTTTAATATAGTTCACCATTTAAATTGTTGATGATTGAAGCAGTTCATTAGAAATGCGATTTGCATCTAATTTAAAACATTTGTTAAGAAATAGCCACAGGCTGATGGGAAAGGAAGAATATAAAATATAAATATATTAAAAAAATAAGAAATAGGGAAATAGGATAGAATAAAGAAGTGATGAAAAGGGGAGAAAATTAGATGAGTAAAAGGGGTAATTTTGAGAGAGAAAGAATAAGAGGAAAAGAATATGAATGAGTGAGAGAGATGAAATGATAGAGGAAAAGGAAAAATACAGAAAGGTGTCAGACCAGCTAATGGATATTTAAAGAAGTACAAATTCAAAAAAATTAAAAATAGGAGTATTTAACATTTACACTATCCGGGTTTCAACCATAAAGTTTCTTCGGGTCGTATTGGCAATAGTCATATTTATATAGTCTTTCTATGGATCCATTATTCATGAATTTAACTTATCTCTCCCTAATACATAAAGATCAATGAAGATATATATAAAATAATATCCATGCCGTATGATGATAGGATGACCTATCGAAAGTACTAGCATATTTATGGAACATACGGAACATATAAAAACAAGGATCACATCATTCAACGAGGGGCTAGTAGGTTAATACTTTTAAATTTGTTAGCGCAGTGAATTCGCCATTTATTACATTCAGTCAGTTATGTGCCATGCGTGATACACACTTAGGCGATCATCTATCTTTCGGTATATGACTGATGAGGCAGATTTTTCCCGCAGTAGGTTGCCATTTCTTTCTGTGGTAGACCAGTTGCCATCCAAGACTAGAGGACCCGGGCTGTCCTGCTATTTATCCGTAGTTTGGGGGGGGGGGTGAGAAGAAGAAAATTCATACCTTGCCCAAGGGTACTAGCACGTTAGTGAATGTAATGGATTCGACTGGAATTCAAACCCGGCTCTCTGATTCCTCAATCCGAGCCGCTACCTTACTAATTTATTCTTTGTATGGTTGCTTCATTATAATATTAAATATACTCAACCAATCATGTAGCGGATTATGCGTGTATAAGGCGAAGAAATAAGCGAAACTTCAACACGGCTCTACAATTTTAAATATTTTTTTTTTATTCTTCTTTTAAATTGAAAAAAATGAATTACAAAGATTCTTTACGAATCAACTTCAAACAAAATATTTTATGCATCTTTTTATAGTACACCCGAATGAATTGCGTTAGTATAGGACAAACAAAATATGCGTCTACACGTGAGAATATGTGTGACACGGATGAGCGTTATTTTGTGTATGCCTATGAATTGTAGCAGTCAGTCGCATGAATAAACAGAGAGCTAGCTTGCTACCGATGACGCTCGAAGACAAACTTAGTCTACATGTTTTTTTTTTTAATATGTGTCATTATCGCTAAGCATTTGTTGTAATCATACTCAAATAAATATGCGAAAAATGTGAGTAATTGTGAGAATTTCAGCTTTGTATAACAAACGAACGACTCCTGTTCAAGGTTAACTGAAAAACTTAATACTAAACGAAATTGAACGAAACATCGACTCCAGAAAAACAAAAATTAGATTTATTAATCTCAAGTTTATTCGTTAATAAATATTTTCCCAATTTCTAAATATCCCTTTTAAGGAGTGAGAATATTGTTGATCATATTCTGAAGTGATCCTCCAAAATTTCGTAGTTAACAACAAATCTTAATCATCTGTAATTTCAAAGAAAACCGCGCGTTTCATATGACGTCACTGATTGGTCATTATATATGAATACAACAATTCAAATTTTGGGAGAAAATTCTGTTTGTAAAAATATGAATTAATTTCTGAGTAATCTACGATATTTTTCTACATTTCTGAAATGGGATTCCACATAACTTACTATTTAACCCATAACATTAGGGGAGAAGAGATGAAGTATTTATACGAAAGTAAATGTAACGAACTCAACTTGCCAATTTCTCGTTCGCACCACGTACTTCCACTAATAGCTTAAAATTATTTGAATTCTGTTAAGAAGACATAAGTTTCATCTCAAAAATTGGTTAAAAATTGTAACTCAAGCTGGTAGGATATGGAACACAAAATCTTGTCGGAAGATATTTCTTTATTCTTATTTTACCCTCGTTATTTTAGTGGTCGAATTAAAACGTGAAGGAAAGAGACAAATAATAAAAATCATTGATTTTAGAATTAAAAAATGAATTAAGCTAATATTAGTTTTGCACAGAGCTACATGTATAGAGTGAGAAGTGGGTAATCTAATGAGGACTGAACTCACGACTAATGATCTGCGAGACCTGCTTGCTATACTCGATAGCGAGACGTTTAAGTGGCTATAATATAAATAGTCGTGAAATGCAATGATTACATTGATGGTTACAATTTCATGCCAATAGTTAACGTTTCCTTTAATTAATTTGCGGATCCAGTGACGGTTGGAGGTGATGAAGCAGACATAAAACATGGCCACTTTAACCTTTTCTCAATTCACCAAAAGTCTTCTTGCCAACTAGCTGACACTGGTCTAGAAAATTCATTATCTTAACTTAGCAAACACTAGACTTAAACAAAACGGTTCCCGACCAATAAAAAAATCCAAGAAAATGAATAAATAAAAAAGAATCCGCCTCTTCGTGCGAACACGTTTCATTTTTTATCGTTTTTAATTTAGGCAATTTTCCCGCCTTTCATTTTTTCCACACATACATCAAAATGGCGTCGTCTTCCGCCAAAATAATGTGCCATAAATCGAGTCCCTGAAGTGAGAGCGTGACGACAGTAACGCCTTTATCCTATGTGGGTATCAGGCGGCCATACGCAGAAGGTCGGACTGCCTCATGATGTCCAAAGCGTAACTGACTAGTGTCGACCTCATCAACAAATCATTAGGACAATATTAGGTGTTATTTAGCACTGCCCACACTCCGGTATTACTTGCACTTGTTTATTCGGCACAATGAATAAATATTGTGAAAACAATACAAGAACTCCATCTGCTCGGCTGTAAAACTTCCGTTACCTTACAATAATATACTGACGATGAAATGGACGAGAATTTTATTTTAAATAGTGTTTAATTAATGCAAAATCATTTTTTTCATTTACAATGATAAAATATTCAAATAGTATCCTCATGTTACCTTGTAAATTCAACATATAAATTAAAACTGAAATCGTTTCCTACCAGACGAGGAAGTGCCTTGCACAAAAAAATTAAAAAAAAAAATTTAGAGAGAGTAAAATAAAATCTAAACTCTTAATTTGAAAATATGAATAACTCTGCATAAAACACCATTTTGCGTTAGATAATAATAATAATAATAATAATAATAATTTAGTTACCGTAAAAAAGAGAAGAAAATTTGTCAGTGGATTCCGATTTGTATTAGCCTACAGAATAAAATTGAAAGAAAGTGAAAAGTTGGACAAATATCTTGACTTCGTTAGGCAAATGAAAAACAAATAATCGTGGAATATGAAAGTGATGGTCGTGACATTTGTTAGCACTTGGAAAGTTGCCAACATGCCAATTGGCCTAGATAAATTTCAGGAAGAACTGGAAATCGGATGGAAGAATCAAGAACATCATTGAAATTAGAATACAAATGTGGCTGCTGGAATATGCTGTCACTTAACCTTCGATGTAAGTCACAATTCAACAAGTTAATTATAATACTAATAAATTCGATGAAGAAATGAAACTAAGGCATTACTGGGATCTGCTACAGAATTTTATAACGTGCTGGATATTTGATGGATTTGCATCTGCGGTACCTATGGGTGAGACATATGCTAACATATGTTACTTGAAGAATTTAAAATGCATCCTAGTTTGTAGAAATTCTAATTTATCTTTATGCGTGTATTATTGACGTAACTGGTTTTGAAATAATCTTATAAAAATATTTGTTGCATTCTATCTATTTAAGTACTGCATTTGACTAAATACATATGATACCAACCCCATTACTGTTAATATTACAGTATTATGGAATTATGTTAGCAACAAGTACAGATATCTACGGGATCTGGGTAAAAATTAGCCCGTCAAATAGATCAATTTCGCATATAAGGCCCACGCAATGTTTTTACTCATTTTAAGAGGAAAATTAAAAAAAAAATCTTTAGCTGTTAGCAAAAACGGTAAGTTTGGAAATAAAATGTCGGATTTTGTTTCGTTGCAGCGCAAAATTTAATCGAATTCTTTAAAAATCTTGTATACTGTCATGAAATATATTTTCTATAATTTTCTCCAATTTTGAACAGTTTGACAAGAATTTAATATGTGAGTTTGTTCTGTGCAAATACAAAATTAAAAAAAAATATATGAGAGGATACTGAAAAGTTCTCGGTCAGATCAAGAATAGATACAAAATAAAACAATTCTAATTTTTGATTAGATTTTGAGAAGTGGTTCAAGTCAAAAACTGTTCATAACAACCGCGTTCATTTAAATTTTAGGAATTTAAAAATTTCATTACTTAATTTAATAGTTTCTATTAAAATATTCCTGTTTGTAATGAAGTCTACAGTACGAGAATCCCCTATTAAAGATTGAACTCAATAGTATTAATCTGGGATTTCATGAAGGACAGGGTTTGTCCCCAGTGTATCCTGTAGTATCTCAAAATGAACATTTCCCAAGATCGTACACTGGAAATTTGATGAACTGAAGTAATTCCCCAGAGGATGGACATAAATTCCATAATGCAATTTAACACCTAAGACAGTCACATATTTGCTTTCAGTTTTCTTATTTCTTTTCTCTTTTGTTAAAACCAAGTGGCATAAAAAAAGAAAAAGAAGCGAGTGTTATGTTACAGCCTCGGTTTTATATCTACTCAGGGGTAGGCGTGGCTAAAACTTGTGTTCATTAGATACTTATAATAACACCTTAGTGTTGGCAGTCTTTCCTACGCTCTCGTGGTTGGGTGAGGGATATAAAGAGAACATTCAACTTCAGAACAACAGAAGGTGTCAAAATAAGTTGGCAGATCAAGTGGCCGCACCCATAAAACATGTCTCTGCATCTGTTTCCTGGACAGCGAAACAGATTTTGACTTTGAGCGGAAGTGTACTTAAACAAGCAGATCAAAATCGAGGTGTTTCTTGTGGACGTGATTCGCAACATTTTATATTGCGTAAAGGACCTAACACCTGGCTCAAAATAATCTGACAAGGTTTAGTTTTTAACGACACCACATTACCGCGACCAACCATGGAAATTGCGTTCAGATTTCTGAGGTGTTAAGCGAAAATGCGTAAAAAGAAAAAATGGGAGTCGTTTTAATTATTAAAAAACAATCAGTTGGTAAAACTAAAAAGAAAACCTATTTGAAGAAAATAAATATGCTCATCATAGTTATTAAGTTTTCGAACAATAATTTGCTACTTGTTTCGTCTGTTGCATTAAATAAATCTGTACGCCTAATTTAAAGCGATAATTAACAAACTAAAGTTAGGAATAATTTCTCTTGTGCTCAGTTCAAGTAATGTTTTCATTGATTGACACACATTTTATGCAGTACTCATTTTTGAAAGTCCTTAAAGAAACCTGGTTTACATCATTCACTTGTACAGTGTTTCGTTTAGAGAGATTCACCATTGTGTCAGTTAATCTTCTAAGGTGTCTCTCGCTGTAGGAGAGAGGTGAGAAAACTCATATTTCAGATTATTACTATTATTATTGAAGTAAATTAGTTCCTTACTTGCGACCATGGGCCATAAACTTAATAAATGTAAATAAATATTTGCGCTTATCGATAGTTAGAAAACTCTTCAATAAGGTTTGATACTTACTGGGTGCCTCACAAGTTTAAACTTGTTTCATGGTCTAAACAAAAAATCAGAATCTTACCTGCTTAGAAGACGACAATTTGATTATAGAAAGGAAATAAAAATCAGTGTAGAAACAGGCGGGACGTATTCACTAGCTTGTCAACGACTGCTCTACGACAATTGCTTCTGAAAGAGGAAAAGAAGAGAAATCTTTTTCTTCACGTTTACTGCTGCACGATATGCGTCTTGTGACACGATGCATATTTGCTGCTGACGCACACGTGTATCCATTATATGTAAAGAAGCGAGCATAACTAATAAAGGCGTCACGTTACTCGATGGAGAAAAACAAAGATGATGTTGAAGAAGCACATTAGCGTTAATCGTAATAATTGATTAAATTTAATATTCTTTACCAAAATAAAGCATAAACAGATGTCATTATATAAATGTCCAAATTTTCAAAGTATCAGTGAAAGTGTTACCATCAGAAAGGCTCCTTTTCATTCAGACAGATAAGAGGCATAAGTTTATGGTCACTTAGTGGATTACAACCAGTAGGTAAATAAATAAGATTAGTTCCTTTTACAGTGACTTTGTGATGATGTGATCTTCTTAAGTAGTTGGGTGGGATTTTGCTTCTAACACTAGAATCCTGATAAATGCTTAGGAGTTTTAAGTCCAAGTATTCCCCAGATGAGAGATAATGACGCACATAATTCAATTAACGTAAATTATTCCGGTTTAATCAAACGAAATTGCCGTGGTTAGTCGCAATAATTGCTGCCTGTTTTCATTGGATTCGGGGTTTTATATTTTTGTTCAAATTAATTCAATTTACTCAAATTAAATTTAAATTTGTCTTTTTCGAACTGTGTGTGAGTTCAGTGTTGGCTGAACCTCGTCTTTTCCTGCCTTGACATCATTCAGCTTGAGGCCAATATATAGCCACAAAAAATACATCGATGAGATAGATTGACAGACAGACAGATAGATAGATAGATAGAGAGAGAGAGAGAGAGAGAGAGAGAAAGAAAGAGAGAGAGAGAGAGAAAGAGAGAGAGAGAGAAAAAATCGAATAAATGTAAGAGAAAGTAAGAGAAGGAGAAGAGAGACAAGAATGAAGAAGGAAAGAAAGTAAGATCGGCAAGAAATTTCCAAGTAGAAAAAATAAATGCAATGGAGGAAAACAGGAGAGTGAGAGAGAGGGGGGGGCAAGAACGATGACAAAGGGAAAGTAGGAGAAGGCGAATAGAATGAATATAAGTTATAGAGAAAAGGTAGAGAAAAAGAAAAGAGGACAATAGAGAAATGAGAGAACACAGAAAATACGAGAAGGGAGGGAGAGAAAAAAGAGAGAGAATAAATTAAACGCAAGAGAAAGAGGAGAGAAAGATGAAACAGAAAGAATATAATAAGAATAAAAAAGAGGGAAAAAGAAAGAAAAGGGAAAGTGAGAGAAGAGCATAGAAAGAGATTAACATTTCCAAAAAGAAAGGAAGAGGGTGAAAGACAGAAAGAGAATAAAATGAGAACAGTAGAATTTAAAAATAAAAGATTGTATGGGTGTCGATTGTTCATTGAGAAATAAATCGGAGAGAGAGAGAGAGAGAGAGAGAGAGAGATGCAACAATTGCAGACAAAGTGTGAGAGAGGAAGAATGGATGAATGGTGATGTGATAAGGAATTCTCCCTGTCGCATTGGTTTCACTTGTTTAACTGGTTTTGTCTAGTCTAATTGACCTTCATTAGTGATAGCCAGTTGGCCATCAAACATTTTTAATCGAAATACTGATCAACCTGAGTATTAGTAGACATACTAGCATGCAGTTCTCAAACTGCTGTTACCTATTTTCAACCATTTTGTGATGTACACTCCTGATCAAAAATTTAAGACCACTTGAAATTATTTTTAAAAAAGACTGTTTTTCATGGATACATTATAAACGTTTTCTTACTTAAGGTTACTAATTCTATAATCAAAAAGGTTATGTAGACAAAAAGTTATAATCCGATCAATTTATTCAGAAACGGACATTTTTATAAAATGAGGCGTTTTACACTTGATCAAAATTATAAGACCAGGTGGTATAACTTGTTAGATCTGGGGTAATTCCAATGTTTTTAGTTCAGTTAGAAATTAGCAATCACTGCATAAAGGTGTCACCATACTTAAAGCAAGCAAACTTACCGAAGTTGAGCGTGCTCGAATTCTAGATTTCCATAATCAAGGTTTGTCACAGCGGTCGATCGCATTTTAGGTAAATCACAGTAAAACTGTGATTTGCAACTTTCTAAAGGACAGTGCGAAATATGGAAACGCAAAAATTACTCCGGCATTGAGTAGGAAAATAAGTCGGGTTGTTGTCTTATTTCCTCTAGTCAAATTAAGGCAGCCACAGATGCTGATTGCAGTCCAGTAATCATCAGACGACACTTACGACAAAAAGGCATGGTAAATAAAAAGCGCAAAGAAATTCCTCAGCTGCTTCCATGTCACAAAGTGAACCTTGTAAGGCTTGCTAGTGAATACCAAACATGGGACATTGAGTAGTGGAAGATAGTCCTGTTTTCTGATGCGAAAAAATTCAATCTAGATGGTCCTGATGGCTTCTAACGATATTGGCAACAAAAACATGCCTCCTGAAATTTTCTCCACACATCATAGTCGTGAAGGGTCCCTAATGGTATGGGGTGCCTTTTCTTACAGAGGGACGATGGATCTCCCGGTGGTGCAGGGTCGTCAGACAGCGACTGGTTATGTTAGCATGCTACAAAAAGCATCGTTGGTGACGGAGGGCCATCTCTTGAGACATCCTGCATGCTCACTGGACTTGAACCCAATTAAAAATGTTTGGGGATGGATCGCATGAGATGTTTATCGAAATGGCAAACAATATTCAACAAAAAATGAACTTCGCGAAGCTATCTTCAGAAGCTGGAGCAATATTCCTCGCAGCTTAAGGGAAATACTAATTTCTAGCATGCCCCAAAGGAATTTTGAAGTAATCAAAACCAGTGGAGGTGGAACTCATTATTAAATTTGGTTGTTGAATGTTTTCGTACACTTTTTGTACAATTTCGTAGAATTTTTGTCTCTGGTTTTATAATTTTGATCAAGTGTAAACGCCTCATTTTATAAAAATATCAATTTATCAATAAAATGTTCGAATTATAACTTTTTGTCTACATAACCTTTTAGATTATAAAATTAGTAACCTTAAGTAAGAAATGTTTAAAATTTTTGCATGAAAAACAGTCTTTTTAACAAATTTTTCAAGTGGTCTTAAATTTTTGATCAGGAGTGTATTTTAAACTGTAGACGTGATCTGGTTCCCATTGTAGCTCAAAGTGACGGTGTCAAAATCAAATACTCCATCAGTAAGCTACTAAACCTTTACAGATAGAAAAAATTTTGAGTATTAAAAATATTTAACTCGGAATTAGTAAAATATTTTCTCATTTCTTTCAGTTGAGGTCCAAATAATAAATAGAACGTGGACAAGCTGAGAGGATGGATTTTATTTATATGTCAGCTTAATGTGATTTGTTATCATAAACTAGCTGAAAAGACCGAAATCTCTTACTTAAATTTAAAGAAAATAATATTGTCTTAAAAAAAAGATCTACTAAAATTAGGTCACATATTTTGTCAAATTTGGTGTAGAAGAGTTGCCTTTAATGCTAGAATCTGCAATTTTTAAATCTCATTTGTAAGGTTGTATAAACGTGTTTTATTGATCTTGCAATTCAGTGAATGCGATTCCATAAACGTTATGTTGACATTTTGATATTCGAAATATATTTGAGTATTATCATCGGAGGTAACAAATGATGAACACAGCAGAAACTGTTTGTTAGGTAAGCGAATTAATTCAACCATAAGAGAGGCACCGTTTGAGAATTATTTTCAATTAAAAGAATGCGTTCAGATATTTTCTAAACTTAACTTAGGACTGTGAAAAATCCATTGAAAATAAAATCTCCTTACCGATTAGCGAAACATGCTTCGTAACTCTCACTCTATGGTAAGGATCTATTTCCATTATTGTTTTCTTTGTACATCAATTTCCTCGTGAGCTTATCTACATCTTATGAATTTTTTTACATACTAATTTAACCATTCAGTTTGTATGCCTGTAAAATGAAAAATAACCTATTGTTATCATTACCCACATGCAAGCTAAATTAAATCTGAATATTTATAAACTTGGGCTATTTCAATGCTTATAATTATCCAAATGAACTGGTCGTAAAGTGGGTGTGGTGAGACGTGTTCAAAATCGAGATGAAGGATAATTGACTCGAACTGAAAATACCGAAAGCAATACGAGTTGTTAAATTACCAATCTTTGCGTTTGATGCACATGACAGCAAAATCCTCAGAGCAACGGGGAAAAAATCCTACATAATCTTCTAATTGGTGATTTTGCCCCGAATTCGTTTAGCAGCTTTCATAAGGCAAAAAAAAAAAATCGCTGGAATGAATCTTTTGAAAAGAACTTGCGAGATTTTGTTTTACTTCACAGATACCTGATGTAAGGAGAATTGCGTTGATTCCCATTTTACGTTAATCGAATTAATGTGAGCTTGTCTCAAAGAGCGGTCCTAACTATAGATCTTTATCAATCGCTTTCGAATTCTTTAATGCAAAGTGCAAATTATACAACAACTTTTATACTTTTGCTGATTGCATGTTTGTGAAGGTAAGAGACTGTGTTGCCCAAAAGTTAGGGGAATCTGGCGTTCGCAAACCGAATTTATTAAGGCCATTTACCACTATATTTTGTGAGTAGTATTCTAATACTTAGTATCCACCGTCTCTTTCAAGTAATTTTGACATTAGAAACTAGACAGAAGCGTAATTTTTCATGGTTAAATTCCGTGAAATTTTGGTTAATATTTCATACATAAATAATGCAATCCCAAATTTTCGGGAATTTAAGGTGTGAAATAGTTATCTGAAAGAAAAATAGCAGAAAATAAATTTCTTGGACATGTAAAATATCCACCGAAACACGGGTAACGCTAATTTGATAGATAAATTCACTGGATTTTGGGGTAGCATCAAGTCTACAGATATTAAAATTCCTCTTTTGGTACAAGAACACAGTAAAGGACCACTCGGTGAGGATAAAATTCATTAACTCATTGCTACTCTCCATATTTATTCAATTTAGTCTACCCTGGGATAAAAAGCGTGGCACCCTTGAAGGCCTGAAATCATTATTGAATTTAAGTAACGCTTCCCAAATGGCGCTTTGAATGTAGATGCTAAGGTTCCGAGATTTTAATACAAGGTACCATATAATAGCCTAGTCTAATATTTCGCTAATTTTACAAATCAGAAGAGGATAGCGACTCGGATTGAGGAATCGAAGAGCCGAGTTCGAATTCCAGTCGAATACATTACATTCACTTATGTGCTAATAACCTAAATCCTAAATGGTAAATACCAGGAAAGACCGGACTCTATAGCCTTGGGTAGCAAATTCTCTAGCGTAGAAAGAAATGACAACCTACTGCGGGAAAAAATCTACCTCGTCAGTCATGTATCGCCTAAGTGTGTATCACGCATGGCACATAACTGACTGATGGTATTACTCAGGAAATTGGTGTGTACATTACATGTGGCACGTTGTATTGTTTTACATGCAACGGGATTAATCGATAACTTGGTATCTTTCTTTAGAGCGTATATGCCAAATGAATATAAATTACCTCAGTTGGAATTTGATCTCCGTTCACAGATTCAATATTTTGAGAGTAACCGTTAAACAAATCTGCATTATAGACCAAAGAAAAAAAAATCATGGAATTGTGATTCGATATTTGCATTCATTTTTATAATTATGCGAACATATTGCTATTGATTAATAGAAAAAAATAAAGGTTGTGTCAAATTTTAATCTTTCAAGTAAAGACCGCTTGTCTATTTAAAAATTCAGTATTTCTATTTGCCGTGTCGTTTCGCCGGCGATCATGGTTCTCAACAACTTCCCATCCTTTGTAACTCTTACCAATGTTTGTCATTTTACTATTCCCTCATTTCTGTTCTGCCATCCATTTATACAAACTCTATAGTTAGGCCGCTTGCTGTCTGCCTCTGTCTTCCCTGCCTGACTTGTGTACAATCTGAATTATCTTTCCCGAATAAATAAAACTATTTTTTAACAGTTTTTCATTTATTAGAATGGAATAGGTTTTCGTCTCATACCTTTTCAAATGCTTTTGTATAGGCTATCAAATATAAATTTTAAAAGTTAAGTGTCAACAATAGAATCAGTGTGTTTGTTTCCTAATAACGTCATAACACTGAGTGATCGAACATTTAATCTGTTAATAAATCTTCTAGTGCTTCCTCGCGCACGCATGCGCATCAAAGTATTACTTAGATTTCACACATGTGCGTTCATATAAGTAAGAACGTTTATAAAAGGTGAAGGTATTAATCCAGATTATTCATGAGAATAATCTCAGAATGTCAAATATTTGTTGCATAAGTATATTGTAATTAGCAGCCACTACGCTTAGATTAGTAGAGAATAAAACCCCAAAATGTGGCACAGTGAGTTAGGACTGAACTCATTACAGAAGTATTGCTTTACTCAACGGTAACTCCATAGCTGAAAACCTCCAAATATTATTTTAGTAATATGAGACAGAAAAGCATTGAAATATTCTTGAAGGTTTTTTTTTAAATTTAACTTTTTATTTTCTTTTTTTCTTTCTCGTCTAGAATTTGAATTGAATTTCTGACTTTGCCAATGACATTTCTGTGAACTGAAAGCAACGATCGCGTCCACAATTGGAAATGGATTCCTCCCTTTTCCAATAATATTACGGTGTACTGAATGCAACG